ATCCCTGCAGCAGGCAGTGCCAGCCCTGACCCTGCCATGCCCCTCACTGAGGGCCCTCAGCAGGACTGCTCAGTACCCAACTCCACTGAGTGTGCTCAGGATAATTGATCTGTTCTGTTCTGGTCTTCGTGCTGTGACGGGCACGAGCGGGCACTGGGGAAGAGCTGCTGCCACAGCCACCCCGATGGCCCACACCGGCTGAGCACGCCACAGCAATTACCCCGTGTGCCCGTGCCTGGCATCGCCTCCCTTCCGTCAGCAGAGCCTGGCACAGAGCCACTGCTTCCTTTGGCGGACATTGACTCCTCAACAGCCTCTTGGTCCATCTCTGGGGGAAGCAAGAGGGGCAGCTGGATCAGATGGAGCTGTTCTCCATAAGGGAGGTGGGATTTTCAGGAGGCAACACTTATAAATGACATGGAAAAGGTCCAGGAAAACATCTGGGCTTTTGGGGCTGGGTCAGGGCACTCCCTCCTCCAAACAGCCGCCACACCGGAGCTGCCGGGAGACCAGGCAATTGCAGGGGATCTCCTGCTCTGCAGGGCCCGTGGGGCATTTGGGGCACAGGGTCAGGGGATGCTCAAGGCCTTCCTGCAGAGGCCGGGGAGAAGCTGCAGCCAGGCCAGGCGGGGAAACAGCCCCGCAAGGCGTGAAAGCAGCAGCGGGGCAGCGAGGCTGCGATGGATCCCTTCCCACTGTGCAGCCCCTGCGTGTCCACAGAGCATCGAAAGCCCCCACTGATGAGTCTCACGGCTCAGTCTGAGGGAAACACACCCACTGTGCCCTCCCTGAAGTTCACTCAGCATTTGGTCCAGAAGATCCAATGCCTCCTGGGACTTTTTGTGTCCCGGAGGCTGATTCCTGCCTCTTGGAGGACATTAACAGAGAATAGTTCCATTTGACATGAACAGATTAGAGAAAATCAGAGCTCAGCCTGTGAGCTCAGCAGGGACAGACTACTCACCCTTGCCATGTGAGCTGGGCTGGTGCAGAGGAATCAGCTCAGGACCTGCAAAAGTTCTCCGTCCAGACACTCCTGTAATTCAACAGTCAGAGAAGATTGTGTCACCTGGCTCTTGCCATGTTGTCAATGATTATTCTTTGAGCACACATTGAGAATTACCTGCAGGAGACCCCAAGGGACCCAAAGTATCTTCCATCCAAGCTGATGGAGAAGCATTCCCAGCACCCTCATCTAGAAGCAAACAGAGATGGGAACCATTTCCACTGCAGGCTGGGATCCCCTTGTGCCTCAGAGAACTGTGGCACTGCAGGGGGGTCGGGGAGCACTGTGGGGACCAGATGTCAATGGACATGGCCAGAGCTGCAGAGGGGCCTGGGCAGCTCTGGGCTGGCTCCTGGCCGCTCTCCACACTCCTCCCATCCCTTTGCAACATCCCTGGAGAAGCGGCTGGAGCAGCCAAGGGCCCTTCGGGGCTTTCTCCTGACCACAGGAAACCCTGGGTAAAGCCCTAGGGAAGACTACAGCAGGAAGTGCCATAACCATCTCTCCCAGCAGACACTTGGAGTCTTGCTCTCGCCATCTGCCTTTTCCTTAGGAAGGACACCCCTCACAGCTGTTTCCAAAAACCTCAGGATAAATCAAACTCTCTAACAATGTCTTTAATATTTGAAAGCAGACATTACTCCATTACCGTTCTGAATGCAGGTGGGGTCACTTTCCCACAAACACAGGCACTACTAAAACATTTTGCTATTTATAAATTTTAGTAAGCAAAGACATAATGTTCTTAGGCTATAAATTACATAAATCACTCTATTATTAGTATTGTATCTTCTATTGGTTATTGATTTCTCGCTTGTCATGGTAATTAGTCCACATTTTCAGTCCTCCTATTATCTTTTTGACAGCTAGAGAAGGTTTCAATACACTCGCGAGTCCACACGTGCATGTAAAGCATTCGCTGATGAGTCTCACGGCTCAGGCTGAGGGAAAGGACCCACCTCGCCGTCTCTCCAGTTCACTCAGCATTTGGTCCAGAAGAT